TGTAGTTCCATATGTAGCTACATTGGTATTTATATCTGCATACCTAGCTACATTTGTATCTGTATCTGTAGCTGCATTTGTATCTCTATCTTTGTGCATGTATTTCAAATTTTTAATTCTGAAATTTCCCTTAATATTATAAATATAAAAGATAAGAGCACACGCGCCAATTTCTTTTCCAATTTTTATTTTAAATATATATTTATACACACACACACAAACACACATATATATATATATAAATATAATATAAATATGATTATATTTGCCTCATTGCTGACTGCTTCGGAAAGTTGTTTTAAATACATTTTCGCAGCTCAGCAATTTTGAGCAAATTAATATTTTAGCAGAAGTATTTAAACGCCCTGCACCACGTGTTCAACTCATACAGTAAGCACTCCACAGAGAGATCAAATCAGATTTAATTTCTATAAATTTGTAATAGCTGTAAAAGTGTGGGTGAGCCCAAGGAGTGTCCACTGTACTATTATTTTTATTGGCTATTAGTAATAGTTAAAAGTAATAAGCGTAAGCCATATATAATATAGCTTATATCGTTTCGTCGGCAAGTCAACTTCTTTTACTGTTCAGATACATAAAGATATATATCTATATGTGCGTCTGTATGTTTATTTATCCAGTGCTTTCCGCTCGTTTTATGGCCACATTTGATGTTGGCTAAATATGTCCATTAATTACGCGCTATATCGTTTATGAGTAGTTCGTAAAATTGGCTTTTATCGAGCTTTTTCGTGCTCTTTTTTCTTTTTTCCTTGTTTTTGGTTTTTATTTTTATTTTTATGATAATTGGGTCATGCTGATATTTGTTAATTGCATATTAAATGACAGTGGGGCGTGGCTGCCGCCTCTACGACTCCAATGTCAGCGCCGCCCACGGGGCATGGCTCGACACCGACATCGACGTCGACAACAGCCAAAGCAAAAACAAAAACAAATTAATAATAAAATTAAAACCTGTTTGCATTTGATTTTTGCTTGAGTTAAACAATTCTATTTGAATTGCAACAGGCAGCAAACAAAACAAAAACACAATGGCAAAACCAAGCGAAAAACGTTTGAATGAAAGACAACGGCGCTGACGTAGACGCTGACGCAGACGCAGACGCAGACGCAGACAGCAGCAACAGCAACAGCGACAGCGACTTGTGACTTGTTCTGTGGCGTCCGCATCGTCAAGTTCACTTATTAATGAAATCGTTTCAAATGTGAAATGCAAATACGAATTCGAATTCGAATGAGCAAGATCCTTTAACAGCAGCACAAGCTGCACTATTAACAGCATTTGCGAGCACTGCTAACACTGCCTATAACAGCAGCAGCTAGAACAGCAGGAGCTGACTTAACAGCAGCAGAGCGCTTAATAGCTAGGCTTAACAGCAGCCGCGATGAGTAGAGTAGGACTAACAGCTAGAGTCTTAATAGCAGCTGCAAACTTAACAGCTAACAAAGGCATAACAGGCAGAGGTAAAAGATAGCTGTAACAGCTTTGGCAAGCCTAACAGTCTGCTATTACAACAGCAGCGGCAAGCAACCATAACAGTGGCAGCTTTAGCAGTGACTACAAATATGAAAATCAAAATATATTTTACTATTCAAATTACTTTAAAAAAATAAGAAAATATGCAACACTTTTTTTCGCACAAGGTCAAAGTTGGCCAATGCCTCATGATGTTGCTAACAAAATTCAGAATCCAACAACAACAATGAAAAGACAATACAAAATTATTTCAGCGCAATTAAAAATAAGAAAAATCTTTTGAAATTACGTGATGATATTTTTGTTGTTATTTTTCATTGTTTGTTTTTGTTTGTTTTCGCTTTTTTTATTTGTTGCTTTTATTGTTGCGCTGTGCCAATTAATTTAAGAATGAAATCGAAAATCTTGGCATGCTGCGCTTTGGGCGTGGCAGTTTCCTTCTTAATTATGAAATTGTATGAAATCGTGAAACAAATATCTATTAGGAATATATGCATTTATACACTCATGTTTAATGTTCATAAATTAACAAATAATTTGCAATATAAAAGTTAGAAAATGAAAACACGAAAAGTGAAAAATCAAAAGAAAAATCAAATCACGTTTGGCAAACGCACAAGTCGAGTCTTTCGGTCTGCTTTTTTCTTGCTCGTATTTCCTATGGCTTTTCTTATTGGCAATCAGCAAGCGATCTGCCACGCCCCGGGCCGCCCCGACCCGCCCCTGCCCCTGCCCGCCAGCAGCGCCCATTCTTCATCTGTTGGCTGTTCATTTCGATTTTGTTTTTCTCAATTGTGGTCATTCTCGAAAATTGTTTTTGAGTACCGGACATGACGTCAATAAGTGGGCGTTTGCCTCAAATTTGTATAGCACATATATCGCACATATATCGCATATATATCGTATCTATATATATATATATATATATGTGCTACACTTATGTAAAGTTGAATCGATAAAGATCCATTGGCATTTGGTCGTGTTGGCTGCGCAAAGCACTTATAATAATACTAATTCTGAAAGCTTTTTATTGCCCATTTGCTACAGGAATACATATCTATATATGCATATATACTTAAGTTTCATGTTTAGCATCATTGGCTTCATTAATTTCCTGTATTTACTTATTTGTGACTCGTGCCACGCATTCATTAATAATACATAGCTGAGATGCTTTAAGTGCTTCCAAATTCGTTTGGATATCGCATAGGCCTACAGCTACAGTAGGCACTCACTGAAACGAATAGTAAACTGTCAGAGCGAAGCTCTTTAAAGTGAGGACTTAGGCTCATGGCATGTCTAATGTCAACTTATATAAATTTTAGAACAGTTTAGATCATATATTTAAGCTTATTTACAATCGCTTTTTAGATCTTGAATTTTGACTCTTCAACTAATTTAAAAGAATATTTCAGTTCGCGTAAATATTTTATATACATTATAGAACACATTTTAGATCATTAAAAAATTAAAACAAAAACTTTAGATCAATGAAACTTAAATCTGAAGTGTAAAACATTTTACATAATTAGTTTAGATAATTTTAGATCATATGTTAGACCATTATAAACTATCTATAAATACTTTAGATCCATGTTAAGCACTTTTGAATAATTAGTTTATTTATATTATTGTATTAAGAGCTGTATAAATATTTTAGATCATTTAGATCATAGCGCTTCTCACACTAGCTTGTCAAAAATTATATAGGAACTTTTAGATCAAAACAAAACATAAGACTTTGCATATAAAGTGTATACAAATGTTTTAGATCATTTTTTAGACCTTGCTCTGACTAAATTCCAACCGAAATTCCAATTGCAAAATAATATTATTCATAAATTAAAACAGTTTTCATATGGTTAAGGAAAAAAAGATTGTGGCGCCCAAATTAATTTTATTTCAATTTTTACGAACTGCGGGAGTGGCTATAAAAGATAATGAAGATCATTTAGTTCACAGCGAGATGAAAGGTGATTAAAATACTAAAAAAAAAAAGGAAAAAAGAAAACAAATTTAGTTGAGCAGAAAAATGTTAAACAATCTCAAATATGGAATTAGGTAATAAAGAAAGAAACTTCAATTGCAGAGCTAAACAAAAGCCTAGCGCAATTCTCTAGAATAACCATTAAACATGATACTCTTTAGAGAACAACAAGAAGAGGAAGAAAACAAAGCTACCCGCTCCAGTCCCAATTGGGGCGCTACAGTCCGAATTCAAGTGAATTCTGAATGTTTAGTACCAATGCGAGACAGTCGCAGACACAAACTAAAACAAACTTTAAAAGTAAACAACTAGCAGAGCAGCTGGGAGAAGTGGCTGACTAAGAGATACCCTGTAAAGCAGAAGAAACTCGACTCAAATGTGCATGATATGGAATTCTTATTGGAAAAGTGCTAAAATACAAATATGTATTATAGATAACAATCTAAACAGAGAGGCAAAGCAGTATCAAGCATTGCCAAACAGTGATATACCCTATAAAAAACAGAAAATCTTATATTTCATAATTAACTTGTTGCTTTGGGCTTTATATTTATAGCTGCTGTACAGTAAGGCTTATCGACGACGTACATAGATGGGACGACTTTTGAAAGGAATACCCTGTAAAAAAATAGAAAATGATTTTAAAATTTAATTAAGATTAGCTAAATTATACGCTTATGATAACGATATAACAATATATTAAAATAGTAAATACAGTATGGAAGAGTGCTCTATAGCAAGATACCCTGTAAAAGAGATTCACGTGGTAATCGCTGTTGAGTACATATAAAATACATAGTATATAAAAATAATATGTATTTATATAATATATATATAGTGTATAAGCCAACTGTTAGAAGTGTTAAGCTCAGAGATACCCTGTAAAAATAAGACTATCTTATTTGATAGGCATTTAGATGGAAGTTCTTATAATTAGAGTTGTTAGCAATCACATTTATTGCTAATACAAAAAAATATAGCTGTTAGCGTTGTCTAGCACAAGTGAACGACCTTGAGTTACCCTGTAAAACATAAGATTATCTTTAGGCAAATGCATTTGGCTGTCTATGCTTATAGTTCAGTTGAAGTACTCTATTACATGCTTTCAATGATTACAGGGTATCACTAGCTTTGCGCCATGTTTACACAAAAGTCACGCCAATGATTTTGACCTTTTTCTTGCCGGCTTGCGCTTGTTCTTCGAGTTGTTCTTGTTTCTTAAATGTTTTTATTTCATTTTTTTATGGCACAGCAAGAAATTAATTATAAACAATGAAAAGTTATATATTTATATACAACAACAACTTGGTTCGTGCCGAGCGAACCTTCAGCTGAGTTTTTTAAATATATAGAGCATATATAGAGATATAGATATATATATTTGTATAGGTATATCATGCCATAAGAACGTGCCATTTGAAGGCAACGCCAGATATTTCATAAGCATTTATAACAGTACTTGGGCAGTATAACAGTTAAACTAATTCACATATTTCTGATCGTTGTTCATTGCAGAAAGCAATCGGGCGACGGAACGTGCTAGGATGAAGGCAAATCGAGCCGATTTTGGTCACAGCAATTACCTCAAGCTCTTTTGAGAGCTGAGCAGCAGAGGCAGACAGATAGACGGACGGATAGACCGGCAGGCAGCCAAGCAGAGCTCGGCTGGTGTTTGGAATTTTGGTTTTTCGCTACACTACATGGATCGCAGAAATGGCGGCGATCCCTTGGCGCCACCACGGCCCCCGAAGCTCCAACCGCGTGTGCATCGACCAAGGGCGCCGGAGCCAACAGCGCTAGGTGGTGGCAGCAGCAGCAGCAGCAGCAGCAATCAGCAACAACTGAGTATTAGCACAACAACAACAGCAACAACCGCATCGACTATAAACAACAACAACAACAACAACAACAACAACATTATATCCATAATACCCACAACGGCCGACTTCGACGACTATCAGATCCATCATCTGACATTTCTGCCGCAGCGACCGAGCAGCCTCAGTCGCAACAGCAGCAACGCCTCCTCCTCGACGGCCACGGCGAACAGCAGCGCTGGTTCGAGTTCCAGTTTCACGCGTCGACGACCGCCAGCGCCGCTGCTAACGAACAACAACAGCAACATAAGCAACATAAGCAACATAAGCAACACAAACAACATAAGCAACAACAACAACTTCCTTAGTCATTTCCAAAGCGCTGAGCCCGTGTCTCTGTTGTCAACGGGTCAGCCGCCCGCCTCGCCCGTCACGCTGGCTCAACCGCGACCCGAATCCGAAAGGCTCACCAATGAGTATGTGGACACGCCGCTGCAGCATGCAACACGCAGCCAGCATCCGGCTGGCCAGCAGGATAACGGGCAGACGACCACGCATCATCTGCTGCTGCTGCCGCAGCGACATCAGCAGCATGCAACAGCGGCGTCAGCGACGGCAACAGCAGCAGCAGCGGCAGCAACAGCCACAGCAGCTGCCCATCACATTAATCGATTGGCGGCGGCGGCGGCAGCGACGGCAACGCCCATGTCGACGTCGTCGTCGGCGGCAGCGGCAGCAGGCATCGATGGCTTATTACATTCGCATTTGCAACATTTACCCGCGCACCAGCAACACCACCAGCAGCACCTGCAGCACCTGCAGCACCACCAACCGCATCAGTTAAATGGCCAAACCAAAGCAACACCCGCCTCAAAGTTTGCACCGCCAGCACCACCGCGGCTTGGCTTTGCAACGGCGGCAGCGGCGGCGGCGGCAGCTGGACAGATGCAGCCACCCATTACCAAGCAGCCCGGCAGCAAGGAGCATATGCAGGAGCTGCTGCAGCAGCAACAGCAGCAGCAGCAGCAAATGCTGCCCGGCAGCGGCGGCCAGCTGGGCGCCTCCATTGTCATGGGCGGCGATCCGTCGCTGCTCAATCCAATCGTTTGTCCACGCTGCGGCCTCTGCCGCTGCGAGCAGTGCCAAAGTCCGCGTCCGCTGCCCCAGACCTGGGTGTGCAACAAGACGTGTCTGTGCAGCGCCGAGTCGATCATCGACTATGCCTCGTGCCTCTGCTGCGCCAAGGCGCTCTTCTACCATTGCGCGCGCGACAACGACATGGACTGCGACGACGGCACTGGCACGCCCTGCGTCGACAATCCCTGTTCCTGCGGCCCCTACAAGCGCACGCAGCGCTGGGGCTGGCTGGGCGCCCTGTCCATTGTGCTGCCCTGCCTCTGGTGCTACTGGCCGATGCGCGGCTGCATCAAGCTGTGCGAGAAGTGCTACGCGCGCTTCGCTGGCCGCGGCTGTCGCTGCCAGGGCAACATTGGCAGCGACGCGGCCATCGGCTCCACCAGCAGCATGATGCCCATTGTGCCGCTCGCCGGCGGCGGCGTTGGCGGCGGCCTCAACAACGGCGGCTCCATTGGCGCGGCCAACGCGGCGCTGCAATCGAATGGCAAAGGCTTCGATCATGGCTGCAGCGCGGCCAGCAGAATTCTGCGCAAAGGCGATCTAACGCCAGAGAAGCGACTGCTCGACTCGAGTCCAGACTACTAAAGTGAAGAGAGAGAGCGAAGGAGGGAGGCAGGCAAAGGGCAAGAGAACGTGAGAGCGTGAGAGCGTGAGAGCGTGAGAGCTGGAGAGCCAGAGAGCGTAAGCGTTTTGTGCGCGTTTTTTGCCGCGCGTAAAAAACGCGACACAGACAGGAGTTAGTTGGAGAGTGCGGAGAGTTTGGAGAGCTGCAAAATGTATATATATATATGTATATATATGTGTGTATGTATATATATGTATATATATGTATGTATGTGTGTACGCCTATATATACAAATTATTAAATGTATGACTTAAACATATGAGCCTATATATATATACATATATACACATATGTATGCATGTATGTATATAAATATACAAAAAATATTAATTGTATGAAAAAAAATGGAAAAAGAAAAAAGGAAAGAAAAAATAAATAACCAAAGACTGCAAACAGATAATTATTAATTATTAGAAATGTTATTTAAAAAATAATGTTCGCTTAATTTAAAAACAAAACAAAAAAAAAAAAACAAAAAATACTAAACTAAAAAACGAGCGACAAAAAATATGTTTTTAAACTATTTTTTTATACATATATATATTTATATATATTTTGCATTATTATTCTTAAATTTGGCCAATTTGTTTTTTTTTTTTATTATTTATTTTATTATTATTTTTTTGTTTTTTAATTTCCTTAAAAAAAAAAAACAATTCCAATATGATATTGCGAGAACACCAATGTAAACTGTACAGTAAAGCCTCGTTTCTGCATAACTGAACCATTCGTAAAAACTTTTTAGATAAATATTACGCATCTATATAGATATATATACATACAGCAGACACTGTAACTAGACAAACATTTTGAAAATCCAAAAGTCCATTTTTGATGTTGTATAACTAGAAACAAACCAAAACAAATATATAAAAAATATGCACATGCGATATATATATATATATATATATATATATATATATATATATATATATTATATATATATATATATATATATATATATATGTATATTATATATCTATATATATATATATATATATATATATATATATATATATATATATATATATATATATATATATATATATATATATATATACTACCGATCTGTAAAGCAAAAAACAAAACATTACGAATTTAATGAATATGTTAAATGTTTTCCAAAAAAAAAAAGATTGTGCTTTAGATCCAAGTCTAAATGTGCTTGTGTGTGTGTGTTTGTGAGTGTGTGTGAGTGTGTGTTAGCCATATATGCGAAAAGAGAAATGAAAACAGTTTACTTTACTACAGCAAAAACTTAAAACTGATTAAAATAAATTTTTATAAAAAAAATTAAAAACTAAATGAAAAATTAATTTCTTAAAAATGTATTTTATATGCAAAATGCTATTATTTTTTTATTTTTTTTTTTATATAATAACACAAGATTCCAAACAACAAAAAAACTTAAAATAATAATAAAAAAAATAAATAAAAACAAACAAAAGCCACAACCAAATTTAAGGAGTAAAAATCCATATAAATATACATATATATATGTAACAATTTTCTATATATGCAGAACTAGATAAAGATAAAGAAGAAGAAAAAACAAATCCGATTAGCAAAGGCGACAACAGCAACAAAATTTATAAGAAATAATATTGAAAAAAGCAAGAAAAACTAAAAAAAAAACAATACACTTTACCATATGTTATAAATGTATATGTTATATATAGATAAGCTAATATAGCTTAGTAACACAAACATATACTATGCTTAAATCCTAACTATAAATATAAAAAATACAAATAAAATTAAAAACAAAAGAAAAGAAAACAAACTAAAAGAAAGTTAAGTGAAGTGAGTTGATGAATATTTAAGTAAACGATTAATATCTAAGGCACTATACATACATACAAGCTATACATATAATGAATATTTATTTTATTTGTACATTTTACTATATTAATGAAGAAGAAGTAGAAGAAGTTGAGCTTGGCAGTGGTTGGAGAGTCTCCACGGCGTAGGAAGTCGATGAAGAAGAACTTTATGTAATGTTTTTAGAATGTATGTTCCGTTAAAAAACTACAAAATAAAAAAAATCATATAATACTAAATATTAACAGAGAGTCTTTTACATTATGAGTCTAACAGCAGCATGTTAACATGTTAACAGACCCCATGTCAGCCCGCTGCAAGCAGCTATGCATCGTTAACAGATCGGAATCATGTTAACATCATAGAAATGTTAACATATTCTTGTTTATGCACATGTTGGCATGCGGCTGTGTGTGTGTGTATTAATACATATGCCACGTTATACGGCATACGTATGCCAATGATGACGTGGACGACGTCGGTGCAGCCGTCGCCTAAGTCGCTGCTGTCTGTCTGCCTGCCGCTCTCGCTCTGCGCCGAGTGTGCGTGCGTGTCTGTGTGTTAGTGTGTGTGTGTGTGTGTTGCTGTGCCAAATGGCTATGGCAAAATAAAACTAAAGCAGCTGTTTCCGGTATTTGATTGATAGTGAACTGGCAGTTTGTTTATCTCGCGCACACGGACCGACCGACCGACCGGAGACCCGCCTGCTGCTCCAACCCCAGCCATCGTTGCCGTCGCAGTAGCAGTAGCAGTAGCAGCCCCTGGCTATTTCTCTCTCTCTGTTGCTTGCTTGCTTGCTTATGCTGCATACGCATCATCACATGGCATGGTTGCGCCAATCCAGTCAGCTGCACTTCGCGGATGCTATTTGGGGCCGCTGCTTGTCGGCGCACTTATTTTTAAATTACTGAAAATGTTGCAAGCACACAAACATAAACACACACGCACACACATACGTTCAATTTAAATTTAACTGCAAAATATTTCACTCACACTGGAAGGGAGAGCAGCATACAATACAGTAATAACAACAACAAAAACAACAAGAACAAGAACAGCAATAGCAACGACATTTTCTTGTCTTCTGATTTGTGCACTCTCCCACACACACACACTTACCTTTTACACTCTCACTCTCTCTTTGTTCTGCTCTCTAAACAGCTGTTCGTTTTGAAAGCTGCGCTTAGGCCTCTCGGAACACGTGCAAATTGTATGACAGTAGAGTCAAATAGTTTGTACTATTAAATATTAGCATTTATTGTTGTTCTTGTTAATTAATGCAAAGTGCAGTAACCGTTTTGCATAATTGACTGCCAAGCGACTACGACTATGACTACGACTACGACCCTCACTGTGGGCACATTATTCAATCATAATTCGCGCGGTCAGTCAAACCAACCAACCAACAGTCCAACACAAATTTCAAACGCTCTTCACTTGAGCGAGCGAGCGCGTGTGTGTTGGTGTGCGTGCATGTTTGTCGCCGCTGATAGCCCCACAGTTCGCCGGGTCACCTTTCCCTATGCAAAAAAAAATGGAATAAAATAGCAGAAAAAAATTTAACTGTAATCAGCGGCGACTTTGCGGCACACTACACACCCAACAAACAAACTGAGATGGCGAACGGGTCTGATAAGCGCACGAGACCTGCCAATTCGCTTCAAACTGGTCTTTGGCTCATCGCCGCAGTCGTCGGTCCTCGCTCCTCGCTGTCGATGTCGCTGTCGTTGTCTCTGCTTCTGTCTTTGTAGCTGTCGCTGATTGACACAGTTTGGGTCGCTTTCTTATATTGATGAATGGAAACCGAACTGAAATGTTGGCACGGCATTTTTTTTCCATTTTTTTTATTGAAGTGTGCTATATTTAACGAAGCGAGTACATGGCATGCAAGTATTGCCATTTGAGTAACTGTATTGGCTCGTCTGCGCTGCTCTCTCAATAACTACACACACACACACACGCACGCATTGACAGCTCTAATGAATGAATGATAAGACGGACAAAGCGACAAAGCGACAATTCGAGCTGCTGCAACCGTTGCCAAGTGCTGCCAATGGTAAATGGATTGAATGCGCCAGATGAGCGCAGTTCAAATAACTGCAAATGTGCATTTTTTTGTGCATGTGTGCGTGCGTGAGTGTAAATTGAGAGCCAATGAAATTTGGCGGCGTCGCGGCGAAACTAACTGTAAACAATTGGCAATTTCTCGCACACAAGCACAGATAAGAAGCGCTGCAAGTGCACAAATATAAACAAATTGCATGTTTCGTAAATAAATTCATTGAAATACATTTCTAATCTCAGTTCTAAATATAAATTAATCAACATTCTATATGTAAGGCATCTCTGAATTAGCTTATGCAATTAGCTTAGATATGCAGCTGAATGACTGCATATATGTATTTATATACATACGTATATCTATCAATAAATCCGTAATCAATTCTGCTGTCATTCAACTTTTTGATCATTTCCGGCAACTCAATTGCCATAACTTTGATACCTATCTGCCGTGGCGTGGCGTAGCGTGGCGTGGCATGCCTCGCGCGCTATATCACCGCTAGATGATGCTCCGCTCTGTCTGCTGCTCGAAGGTGTATCGCCGCTTAGATTGGCCTTTGAAGCGAGCTGCTCTAATGAGCTGCAGCCAGGAAGTGTTATCAGCACACACACACACACACATCTGTATGGCATATGCATATTATAGCCATTCGCCGTCATGCTGGAAGCTCCTGAATGACAGATCAATGAAATCATTATGAATTCGCATACGCATAACAACGGCAAACAGATTGCGTCTGAGGTCCATGTGATCGTCATTCGATCTTAAAAACACAATTGCGCTGTGGAAGTGATCGACTGATAGATACTCTGTACTCAGCTTGGAGATAACACAGCTGTCTATAAGCTTTAGCAAGAGTATAGAGACATTATCCAATAGGGGTTAAGTATCTTTCAGAGAAGTTGCTATAACCAAAGCAGTTTAAACTTCTATTACGGAAATGGGAAACTGACAGAAAGTCTATGGCTTTGGCTGTTGATCTTTGGCCATTTGATCTCATCTCATCTTCGTCAGCTCATCTACTATGTCTCCTCTCGCATACCCCATTTGCAACGCATGCAGGGTATTAAAACGCCAACTCACGTCGAGCAGAAACAGGTCTGAGCGACTCTGTGGGCTCCGATTGATCCTGCGCCTGCGTCGTTCGTTGCTCGTGCAGCGGAAGTCGTCTGTGGTTTTGTATGCACCACTCGTCGTTCCATCTGCGTGGTGCATGGAGCGTTGTTATTTGTGGCTCGCCTCATGTTCGCTTTGATGTTCTTTTCGTGTCAGT